ATCCATCCATGAATCCACCCATCCATCCATGAATCCACCCATCCATCCATGAATCCACCCATCCATCCACTTTTCTGTCTATCCATCTGCTTACCTATTTCTATCTATCCACTTATCTGTTCGTCCATCTACTTCTTTCTGTCTGTTCATCCACCACTCCCCTAGCCATCATCTACTACTTATCTGTATTCCGTCTATTCATCCATTATCCATCTACTCATCTCTCCATCCATCCACCCATTGATCACCTGTCCATCCATCCATCCTTCCCATACCCATTCCCGTTGTTTTCCTTCATCCAGTGGATTATCAGATCCTGTGTGGGAGCCAGACGCCCGGCTTCATCATTGACATCCACACAGGGAGGCCCCTCGGTGAGTGACCCCTGCCCCATCACTTACACTCCCAGGCCCCTCTGCCACCATCCATCTCCCAGATCTGAGCTCCCCTCCACCTGGACCCACATTCTCTGTTCTCTCCTGGTTCCTCAACTGTCCATGCCCACCCTCCTTTTCTTCCCCATACCTGTAGCCCCCCAACATACGTAACTCCCCAGTCTGGGCCTGGAGTCCTGCTGTAGAAACATATCCTTCGTGTTCAGTGGGGTTTGGCATAGTTTAATTCCTGTATGCCTCATTTCACTTGCACAGTCTCTAATCAGTGAACCCGTTCTTCTCTGCCTTGCTTACATGTTTATTAAAAAACTAGAAAGTGGTTGGTAAGACTCTGGTTCCCTCCCCACTTCCTCAGACCTGCTCCCTTTCACTTGCCCAGGATTCTCATTGCTTTCCCCTCCGAGAATTTCTTCCTTGTTCTTTCCTCATATGTTTAAACGAACATAGGAGTTCCCCATCAGAAACTGACAGTGTTGTTTTCTGGGGATTGCCACATGAATTGTATGCTATCCTACATGTGGACATGTTGATGCCCTTGAGGTGTGGTGTGGAGAAGAATGCTGAACATCCCCTGGACAGCCAAAAGAACAAACGAATACGTCTTGGAGAGGGTGCTGCCAGAGTGCTCTTTGGAGGCAAGGATGATGAGGTGTCGCTTCACATACTAGGGCATGTTCCCTGGAGAGGCACATGATGCTTGGAAAAGGGTGGAAGGTCAATGAAGGAGAGGAAGACCTTCAACCAGGCAGACTGACATGGTGACTGCTGCAGTGGGCTCTAATGTGTCAAAAAGTGTGAGGATGGCACAGGACAGGACAGGGTTCAGATCTGTTGTTCATAGGGTCACTATGAGTTGTACTTGACTCAAAGGCACCTAACAACAACACCAACATGTGTTGTTGTAACTCAGAAGGGGTTAGATTAGGACCAAGTCTGTTCCAATGCGACTTCAATAGCATATTGACGTTCCTGTTTCTAAATGTCCTACTTGCAAGTTTGTTGTTGTTGTTGTTGTTAGGTGCCTTTGAGTTGAATACAACCCGTAGTGACCCTACGAACAACAGATCTGAACCCTGTCCTATCATGTGCCATTTCACACTTCCTGACACATTAGAGCCTACTGAGGCAGTCACTGTGTCAATACACCTGGTCGAGAGTTTTCCTCTCCTTTGCTGACCCTCTACCTTTCCGAGCATCATGTCCCTCCCCAAGGAATAGCCCCTCCTAGCTACATGCTCGAAGAACGTGAGGTAAAGCCTCATCATTCTTGCCTGCTAGGAGCCCTCTGGCTACACCCTCTCCAAAAATATATTTGTTCTTTTGGCCATCCATGAGATGTTCAGCACTCTTCTCTAACACCACAGCTCAAAGATATCAATTCTTCTTCTCTCATCCTTATTCATTGTCCAGCTCTTAGATGCATATCAAGTCATTAGAAAGACCAAGGCCTGAATCAGACACACCTTAGTCCTCAAATTGGCATCATTACTCTTAAATAATTTGCAGAGTTCCCTAACTACAGACTTTCCCACTGCAATATGTCTTGTGTTTTCCTGACTTCTCTTACCAAGGATGTTTATTGTGAATCCAATTAAGATAAAGTTGTTGACAGTTTCAATCTTTTCTCCATCTATCATGATGCTTGGTGCCTATATGCCTAAGGATTAAGAATCTTTGTCTTATTGAAATTGAGACTCACTCCATATTGAAGGCTGTATTCTTTGATCTTTTACTTCAACTGCTTCAAGTCATCCTCACTTTCAGCAAGCAAACTGTAATCTGCATAATGCAGGTTTTTGATGAGTCTCCCTCGATCCTAATACTACATTCCTGTTCAGAGAGTCCAGCTTCTCAAAGAATTTGCTCAGCATAAAGGCTGAACAGGTATGGAGAGGGAATAGAACCCTAAAGCACTCCCTTCTTAATTGTAAACCGTGTAGTATTCCCTTGCTCTGTTCACACAACAGCCTTCTGGTTTAGGTCTAAGTTTTGCATAAGCACAGTCCAGTGCTCTGGGATTCCTATTGTTCTCAATACCCATAACATGTTGTTATCCACACAGTCAAATGCCTTTGCATAGTCAATAAGGCATAAAAAGACAGACTTCTGGTGTTCTTTACTTTCAGCCAGGATCAATCTGACATCAGCAATGATGTCCCTGGTGCCATGGCCTCTTTAAACCTTGCTTGAACTTCTGGCAGTTCTCTATCTACGTACTGCTCTAGCATTTTTTTTATGATCTTCCACAGTATTTTGCTTGCATGAGAGGTTAATGATACTGTTCAATAGCTTCCACACTCTGATGGATCAACTTTCTTGAGAATGGGAACAAATATGGACCTCTGCCAATCCGTTGGCCAGACAGCTGTTTTCCAAATTTCCTGACATAGACTGGTGAGTGTATCCAGGACTGCATCCGTTCTTGAAACAAATCAATTGGTATCCCGTCAATTCCTGGGGCCCTATTTTTTTGCCAATGCCTTCAATGCAGCTTCCACTTCCTCCTTCATTATCATTGGCTCCTGATCATCTGGGGCTTCCTGAAATTTTTCAGTGTCAGATAATTTTTTTGGTACAATGACTCTGTATATTCCCTCCATCTTCTTATTTTACTTTATTTTATTTTATTCATTATTGTGTATGTGTGTGTGTACCGTCAAATCGGACCTGACTGGTACAGGAGGTGATTGCACCTCCTTCTCCGGCAGAGCATCTGGTGGATTCGAACCCCGTCTCTGGGATTGCAGTGCAGCTTCTTGCCACTAGGCCACCAGAGCTCCCCCACTCCATCTTCTTTTGACGCTTTCTGAGTCATTCAATTCTTTTCCATACCATCTTTGAATATTGTGACTCAAGGATTAAATATATTTTTTCAGTTCTCTCAGCTTGAGAAATGCAGAGCTCTCTGCACATTCCATTATAATACTTTGTCTTCTCAAGCTTCCCTTTGAAATCTTCTGTTCAGCTCTTATACTTTGGCCTGTTTTCCATTTGTTTTAGCTTCTCAATGCTCTAGTGCAATTTTACAAGTCTCTTCTGACATCCATTTCCATTTTTCTTTTCCTCTGTCTTTGTAATGACCTTTTGCTTTCTTCATGGGTGACAAACATTGTTTAATAATTGGAACATGGAATAATTGGAACTTGGAATGTACATAGCTTGAATTGGGGTAGTGGGTGTGTCAGAAGCAATAAGATTGGCTCAGGATAGAGCAGAGTTCAGCACTGTTGTACATAGGGTAGCAGTGAAGCACAAGTGACTTGATGGTCCATAACAATAACAACAACTGTTGAGTCAGAGCTGACCCATAAATGAACGTCCAGAAGATGCTCAGAGGCAATAAATTGCTTGGGACTAGATTGCCCGTCTTTCTTCTGTAGAATACCTGGTGGATTTGAACTGCATACCTTTGTATATCAGTTTAATTCTTTACCATTAAGCCACCACAGCTCCCTAATTGGTAATTAGGGATTTTGTATTAGTAATGCTAGCTGTTGTGTGTATCATAAATCTGGAACCAACCCATAGCTGACTCTTCAGCCAGTTTTCATAGGCAATTTAATCACATGGGAAGAGATTGTCCATCTTTCTCCTGGGGAGTAGCTGGTGGATTGATACCACGTGGTGTTAAGGCTGTAGTGTACCTTTTACCACTTGGCCTCCAGAGCTCCTAGTAATACAATTATTGGTACTGGAGTTATTTATAATTGATAATTACTGGCTATTAGAATTCAAAAGTTGGCAACAAATGAGTTGTCATTAGAAAATAAGGTCTTAGTGATACTGAATGATACCGAAAGCTGCGTTATAGAATCTTGGAAGATCACTTCTTCTCCACTGCAGTTACCTGTTTACAGCAATGTAACTGATAACTGTACACAAGGGTCTCACCAACAGAATCCACAGGAATCAAATCCACTACGTCTAGGAAGAGACGATGGAGAACCTCAGTATTATTACTCAAAACAAGGCCAGGAGCCAGGTATGGAACAGACTACCAGTTGCTCATAGGCAAGTTCAAGGTGAAGTTAATGACAATTAAAACAAGTCTACAAGAATCAAAGCACAACCTTAAGTATATTCTACCTGAATTTAGAGACCGTCTCAAAAATAGGTTCGACACATTAAACACTAATGAGCAAATAACAGACAAGTTGTGGGTGGCATCATACGGGAAGAAAGCAGATGGTCATTTAAAAGACAAGAAGGGATCCACGTCTCACACCATACACAAAAACCAACTCTAAGTGTATCAAGAACCTAGGACTAAAATAAAGAACTATAAACTTCATTAGAGAAAAGCTTGGAAGAATTCTAGAAGCCCTAATCCACAACATGAACAGTTTTCCAAGCATCCTGGAAAACCTACAACCAGGAGAGGATAAAATAGATGAATGAGACCTTCTAAGAATCAAATCCCTATGCACATCCAAAAACTTCTCCAACAGGGAAAAAAGGGAAGCCCCAGACTGGGAAAAAATATTTGGTAATCACCTGTCTGATAAGGGACTTATATTTAGAATTTAAAGAATACTCAAGCACCACAACAAGATAAAACAACCCAATTGAAAAATGGGCTCAGGATATGAACAGACACTTCACCAAAGAGAAAACATTAAGATGGCCAACAAGCACATGAAGAAGTGCTCAAAAATCCCTATCTTTTCTATTGTGATGCAAATCAAAACAACTATGAGATATCATCTTATCCCAGTAAGAATAGCAAAAGTCAACAGAGCAGCAAACAGCAAATGCTGGCGAGGTTGTGGAGAAACTGGAACCCTTATTCACTGTTGGTGGGAGTGTAAAATGGTGCAACCACTATGAACGGTAGTATGGCACGTTCTCAAAAAGTTGCAAATAGAAATCTAATTTGACCCAGCAATTCCACTACTGTGGAATATACCCCAAAGAAACCATAACTGCTATCCAAGCAGATATATGCACACCCATGTTTATTGTGGCTTTGTTCACAATAGAAAAGAGCTGGAAACAACCCAAGTGCCCATCAACAAATGAAAGGATAGAGAAGCTGTGGTATATTCACACAATGGAATACTACACTGCATTGAAAATCAAGGAGCTCATGAAATATTATTCAAAGTGAGTGACTCTGGAGGACATTATGCTGAGTGAAATATTTCAGTCACAAAAGGACAAATACTGTATAGTGCCACTGTTATCAAATGGGACTGACATCAGGGTTGGGGGGAACTTAAGAGGGGATAAAGAATGTATGCTGTATTGAAACAGATGAGGAAGAGAACTGTTTGAAAGGAATATATGATTAGGTATTATTTTCATGACGAGGCTCCAGAATAAGAGCTACATAGTAAAGTGGACTTGGAGGGGGAGGATTGGATAACAATGAAAGAATTTTTCTTCAAAGAGAAAATCTAACTGGGGGTAAGGGTGGGTAGGGAGGAAAGTGTGCAACAACGTAAGAATGGAAATCCAAAGTCTCTGTAAACTTTCATTAAAATTTAATAAAAAATTAAAAAAAAACCCAAGAAGGATAGAAAAGACCCAAACGGATGTTAGAACAGGCTCTGAAACCTGCTCTTTAGCCTAGAGAACCCAAAGTGGAGGGAGGAAAGGTGAAGTAGGAGAGCTGAACTGAAAATTCCAAAGGGCAGCTCAAGGAGACAAAGGAAGAGCACAGAACTGAAGTCAGAAAACCAAAAAAGGAGAAAGGTACTTGACATTTCTCAGGCTGACAGACCGAAGAAGAAATCAAGCTGCAAATTGCAATACCGAAGGATTCTATGGACAAAAACAATGAGTGACCTAGGAAACATCAAGACAGATTGAGGAAATGTACATAGTCACTGAACCAAAAAGAACTCATCAATGTTCAATCATTCCAGGAGGCTGCATATGGTCAATAATCAATATATTGAAGAAGTCAATGCAATGAAGACAGTGGCGAAAATCCCCCAGGCTTTTGGAATTGATAACTGTCAATTAAGATGTTTTAACAAATGGCTACAGTACTGGGATTGCTCCTTTGTCTATGCTAAAAAGAAGACAGCTACGCGGCCAGCTGACTGGAAATTACTCCTATTTGCGTCCATTGCAAAGGTGATCCAACAGAATGTGGAAACAGTATGTCAAACAGTATCAATAATATTCCACACAAGCACAATTTTTTCCCCCAAAGATCACTCAGAAATGGCTGGAGCACTACACCAACAGGGACCTGCCAGAAATTCAAGGGAGACTGAGAAGGCAATGTGGCATGATGGATGTCACTGCTGATGTCAGAGAGATCTTGGTTGAAAGCAGAGACACTAGTAATGTGTTTACTTCTGGTTTATTGACTATGAAAGAGTACTTGCTGGTATGACTGATAACATATTACAGATAACGTTGTGAAGAACGGGAGTTCCAGAATACGTGATTGTGCTCATGCAGAACCTGTACATAGAACATACAGTTGTTCAAATAAAACAAGGGTTTAAAATCAGGTAAGGTGTACATCAGGAGTTGTATCCTTTCACTATACTTGTTCAAACGGCAATTTGAGCAAATCATCCAAGAAACTGGAGTTTGTGGAGAAGTTAGCATCAAGACTGGAAGAAGACTCATTAACAGCCTGTGAAATGCAGGTGGCACAACCTGGCTTGCTGACAGCACTTGCTTAAAACAAAGCTCACCACTGGACCTATCAACAACTTCAAGACAAATGAAGGAAAAATTTATGTTGTCAATGATGTCCTTTTGCTTGAATCCACACTCAACACACGAGGAAGTTGTTTTTATATGCTGTCAAGTCAACTCCGACTCATTGGACTTCTTAGCGATCCTATATACTACAGCTTTGAACCCTGCTCTATCAAGGGCAATTTCATTGTCTCTGACACACCTATCCCCATTACTCCAGTCACTGAATCAATCCATTTCATTCAGGGTCTTCCTCTCTCTCGCTGACCCCCCACCCTCAAGCATGATGTCCCTCTCCAAGGACTGGCCCCTCCCAGCTTCAGAATCCTTGCCTCCAAAGAGTAGCCTAGCCTCATTTCACCTTCTCCAGGGCAGACCTGTTTGTTCTCCTAGCAGTCCATGGTTTATTTAATACTCTTCTCCAGCACCACGGCTCAAAGACATAGATTCCTTTTCTATCATTGTTGATCATTGTCCAGTTCTCTTATGTATAGCAAGTAATTGCAAAGACCATGGCCTGGGTCAGGAGCACCTCAGTCTCTGAACTAACATCATTGCTCTTCAATACTCTGAAGAGGTCCCTGACAGCAGATTTTCCCAATGCAACTTGTCTTGATTTCCTGGCTACTGGTACCAAGAGTGTTGATTGTGGAGCCAAGTAAGCTGAAGCTGTTAACAATCTCAATCTCTTGGCATACACCTTTCCTGATTTTGAAACATGCAGTATTTTCTTGCTCTGTTCTGATGACTGCCTCCTGATCCAAGTGTAGGTTTCCCATAATCACAGTCATTCTTCTTGGAGTCAGCTTTATTTTGTTGTGGTCCAGACAGTCAAATATCTTTGCCTAGTCAAAGAAACACAGATAGACATTCATCTGGTACTCTGTGCTCTCAGCTAAGAGCTGTCTAACATTGGCTATAATGCCCCTAGTGCCACGGCTTCTTCTAAATTCAGCCTGCACATCTGACAGTTCTCTGTTGATGTCTTGTTCCAGTAGTTTTTGGAAAATTTTCTGCAAGCTCTTGCTTGCATGTGATATTGTTTGATAATTTCCACACCCTGTTGGGTCACCTTTTTTTGGAATGGGAACAAATATGGATCTCTTCCAGTCAGTTGGCCAGGTGATTGTCCTCCAGATTTCTAGGCACAACCAGCTGAGTGCATCCAGCGCAACATCTGTTTATTGAAATATATCAATCAGTACGCTGTCGATTCCTGGGACCTTGGGTTGTTGTTTTTTCCAATTTCTCCAGAGGACCTTAAACTTCCTCTTTCATTAGCATAGGCTCTTGATCAGATGTTGTTTCATGAAATTCCTCTGTGTCAGCCAATTATTTTTGGTGTAGTGACTCTGTAATTTTTCCATCATCTTTTGATGCTTCCTGGGTCATTCAACATTCTACTCACAGCATCCTTAAGTATTGCAACTCGAGGCTTGAATTAGGTCTTCAGTTACTTCAGCTAAGTAAATGCTGAGCAAATTTGTCCCTTTTGGTTTTCCAGTTCTAACTCTGCACATTTCATTGTAATACTTTGTCTTCCTGTGCTGCTCTTTGAAATCTTTTCCGGCCCTTGACATCTTGATTTCTTCCCTTTGACTTGGCTTCTCGGCCCTGTAGTGCAATATGACATTATAATGAGCAGATCTGCTACAAAGGACCTCTTTAAAGAGCAAAGACATCATTTTGAGGACTAAGGTGTGCCTGCCCAAGCCATGGTATTTTCAGTCACTATACATGCATATGAAAGCTGGATAATGAGTGAGGAAGACTGAAGGAGAATCAATGCCTTTGAATTACGATGCTGATGAAGAAAGAACAAATGTATTTTGGAGGAAGCTTTGATGGCCTAGTGGTAAGAAGCTGTACTGCAATCCCAAAGGCATGCAGTTCAAATCCAGCAGCTGCTCTGAAAAAGAAGACTAGGCAGTCTTCTCTGGGGCAATTTACTGCTTCTGAAAACCCAGTGGGGGGTCAGCTATGGCTCAGTTCTGACTTGACGGCACACAACAACAATAGCAATAGCCAAAATACTCCCAATAGGCAGTGCTGGAGGACATCATATTTATTAAAATAAAGTCTGAGAAAAAGAGGAAGACCCTCAATGAGATGGGCTGACACAGTGGCTGCAGCTGTAGGTCTGAACACAGCGACAGTTGTGAGGATGGAGCAGGTCTGGGTAGTGTTTTGGTCTCTTACCTGAGGTCCTTTTGAGTTGGTTAACTTGATAATACCCAGCAATAGTCCAGGCAGACACTCTCCCTTTTCCTGTCTCTCATCCCACGTCCTCTCTCCCTCGTGGCACTGAGTTGGCTTTGACCACAGCAGATATTTTGGTCCTCTCCCCATGGGAACTTAGCTTCAAGTGTCCCCAGGCGGGGCTCCCCTGACAGCTGATGCCATCTCCAGACATAGACGAGTGTGGAGAGATCCCAGCCATCTGCGCCCATGGCATCTGCATCAACCAGATCGGGAGTTTCCGCTGCGAGTGCCCCATGGGCTTCGACTACAACCACCTCCTGCTGATCTGCGAAGGTGCTGCCCACCCCTCCATCCCAGCCCTGGCCCCACCTCGCCCCGAGGACCTGTCCCATCTCCCAGCTGCGGCATGAGTGAATACTTGTTCCCCATTGTGCTCTCAGGGCACAGTCCTTCAATTCTGTGAGCCTCCGTTTCCCTGACTTCATAAGGAGTTTAACTCCTTTCTCTCTATTCATAAAGTCACCCTCAATCCAAAGAAAGATCACTTGCTCTGAAATTGGACAACTGGGTATTAGGTGGCAGTGAGGCTTCTCCTTCCCTCCCTCCTCCTATTCTCTAGACGTGGATGAGTGTGCCAGGGTACAGAGTCCGTGCCAACAGAACGCCGACTGCATCAACATCCCGGGGAGCTACCGCTGCCCGTGTGCCCGAGGGTACAAGCTGTCATCTGGCGGGACCTGCGTGGGTGAGTGGGGCCTTGAGGAACGCATGGGCTGGAAGGGCGAGGGAACACTGCCTCCTATCTCTTGGGGAGGCAGCCCTCTGAACAGCCCTCTCCTCCGTCCCTACTTTGCACCCTGGAGTGTTGGTCAAGGGTCCCTGCTCACAGGGAAGTTGGGAGGATGGACTGACCTTAGACATGGGTTAGCACATGTCCAAATCATTCCAGGGAGGCAGAGCTCACCAGCTCTGATGTCAGGTGTATGTATGGTGGAAGGCGACTCCTCCACACCCACTGGTCAGTCCAGAACCCGACGATAGCCGCCCTTTGCTCATCCCCACTCACCTGGGACAGGCCAGCAATTACTCCCCATTCACTCCCATTCAGCCAAGGACAGGTCTCTCTCTCATCCCCACACACCTCCGGGAGACCAGCTGCCACCACCCCCTCTCTCATCCTCACTCACCTGGTCCAGGTCAGCAGACACCGATTCCTTCTTTGTTTCTCAGGTCTGATAACCTATTGCAGCAACTCACTAACTTCAGGGACAGGACTGTCTTTAATACAAGCGGGGAATATGCACACACACACAGGATGAGGGGGGCTGTGGAGGGAGGGTCCACACAGCGTCCATGCCCCCAGGATATTCACTCACCTTCCCTAGAGCAGACATTCCCTCTTTCCAGCCAGGTACCTTGGAGCCTCCAGCTCTTCAAGTCTTTCTTTCCTGGCCTCCCCACATGGCCTCCTGTGGTCAGCACTGACCCCAAGGGGTTCTTTCTGGAGCTCTGCCCCCACTCACTGGCACCAGACATGGTTGACCCCCAGGATCCAGCACTATAGGCCACATTGCTTCCTGCAAGGGGCTCCCACCTGGTGGCCTGGTGTGGCCTGGACCGGCAGCTGCTGGAATGGGGCCTCCCATTAGTACCCTCAGAGAGCTCTGGTGGCCTAGTGGTAAGAAGTTGCATTGCCAATCCCAAGACACATGGTTCGAATCCACCAGCTGCTTCAAGGGAGAATGGGCCATCTCTTCCCATGCAATGAAAAGCCTCTGAAAACTCACTGGAGGGTCAGCTCTGAGCTGGTCTGACTCAACAGCGCACAACATGTAGGCATCTGCTTCCCTTGCTGTCCTTGGGACAGGGCCCAGTGACACCCCACTGCTTCCCTCTAGGACGGAATGAGTGTCAAGAGATCCCAAATGCCTGTACCCATGGCAACTGTGTGGACACAGAGGGCAGCTACACATGCCTGTGCCACCGTGGCTTCCGGACCTCAGTGGACCAGACCATGTGCATGGGTGAGCCTGTCCATCTCCTTCCTCTCAGGCTGGGCCCAGGGGCTACACTTCCTTGAGTCAGGGGGTGTCCTTTGCTCATCCCCAGTGGACAGACCCAGGTTTGCATCCTGGACTAGACCTTGAGTATAAATGACACATTTGATTCCCTGAGCCTTAGGATCTCCATCTGTAAAATGAGGGTACTGAACAATACCAGGGGTAATTCCCAGTCGTCATCTCTATGTGAGCAGGGCTGGGTGCAGGGAGGTGGGCTGGGGTCAGCAACCCCTGGCTCCCTGAACCCCACCCGTGACATGCTTGGTGGGCTAAGTTGGGTCCTGGGACTTTGCTGTGGTAGATATCGATGAGTGTGACCGGCGGCCTTGTGGAAACGGGACCTGCAAGAACAGCATCGGCTCCTACGACTGCCTCTGCTTCCCTGGCTTCGCAGCGACGCACCGTGGGGACTGCCTGGGTAAGCCAGCCGGTGGCTAGGCCTCAGTGGTCTCGCTGAGAAAGGAGTCCATGGCCTGAGGGCCCCTTTCTTAGCAATAAAGGCTCTCACCCCAGATACCTACAGGGGCAGGGTTACCAGAAGACAAGTCAGCTAGAGTCTTTCCAACACCTTCAGCTGTCAGGAGCCATAAGGAGATGGGGGCAGGTTATCAGCAGAGTCCCCTGAAGTTGATGGGAGGCAGTGACGGAGCAGAGTGAATGAATGAAATGACAGTTGAGTGGCTGAGTGGCACCTGATAGGCTGCTAACGAAAAGGTCGACAGTTCAAATCCAACAGCATCTCCTTGAAAGAAAGATGGGCTGTCTCCTCCCATTAAGATTTGCAACCTCGCCCGCACGGCCTGCGTGTGTCCGCGGCGGAGCGGCCGAGGCCCCGGGGGCCGTGGTGGGGGGACAAGGAAGGGGGCTGGTCGGCGCGCCGGGGGTGGGGGCCGCGCGATCCATTACCTCCGCCTGTTTCCGGACCACATTGTCGGGGCTGAGCAGGTTTCCCAGGAGCAGCATTCTGACTTTTTCTCAGGAGTTTGGAGACATGGCACAAGACTGACTGAGCAACGTTCCTTGCTTAGCAAGTCCCCTTTCCTGCCGGTGTGACAAACAGATTTGTGGATGTTTAGAAGATCATTAAGACTCTAAATACTAAATCCTCCTGAGTGAATACAGGACTGGCTTGAGAATTGAGGCAAGGAAGAAGAATACTTCGTTTATTTTTTATTTAAAGGTGGGTAATGAATTTTAAAACCCTTATTTCTTACATTTGGACTTCTTGCCTCAATATCCTTAATCTACGTATTTTTCTCTTAGATCACAAATAGGTTGAAAGTAAAAGGATAGGAAAGGATACACTTTTGCAAGCAGTATCTAAGGAAGCTGATATACCTATACTAATTTCAGATTCAACAGGCTTTAAGACAAAAGTTGTGATGAGGGAAGGGCATTTTATTATGATGAAATAATCAATTCATCAGGAAGATCTAACAATTGTCAACATATGCCCCTAAAACAGAGTCTCAAAATACATGAAGCAAAAACTGACATAAATGCAGGTGACACAACACACCTCAAACAACTCTACGATTCAACTAGTCCCAACAGACACCAAGTACATGGAACAGTCTCCAGGACAGACCACAAGACAAATTCCCTGCATTTAAGAGAGTTGAAATTTTACAAGTAATGTTCTCATAACATAAAAGAATGAAATCAGAACTCAATCATAGAAGGAAACTTGTGTCATTCACTAATGTGGAAATTAATACTCTCCTTAATAACAAGTGGGCCAAAAGAGAATAAGTGAGAAATGAGTAAAGACTTAAACGAACACATGAAACCTTTCGACACCTGTTATGTTATATCAGATATATGTTATGAAGCTAACACAGTGCGTGGTATAAACACCTCTCCTCAAAGAGGGTCAAAGGGAGGGAGAGAGGAATAGAATTAATAAATTGGTAACTTGGGAGAAAGGAAAGATCTCCTTATTATAATGCCATTAAATTAATGAAATTGATGGAAATTATTGTTATGAAATGCAATATCTATGATTGCATGAAAAGTTAATATGATTTATAAAATCTTCAGTGAAATAATGTTTTAAAAATGTTAAGTGCCATCAAATTGAGTATGACTCAGCGATCCTATGAACAAAAGATCTGAACTCTGTTCTGCAACTATCGTCGTTTCTCTAATGCTCATGAGAAAGAATGTAATAACAATATTGCAATATAAATATATAGAATAATATAATATAATATAATATAATATAATATAAATTACAATGAAATGTTATCATTTATATATAAATAAATTAGATAACTTATTAAAACTGACTCATGAAAACTCAAACCCATTGCTATTGAGTTGGAAGTAACTCATCACTGATCCTTGGTGGGTTTTCAGAGGCTGTAAATCACACAGGAGGTGATTGCTTATATTTTTCCCCATGTAACAACTAGTGGATTTGAAATGCTGGAGAGGCTCTACTTGGAGTTAGCAGCATAACTCCACACACACTAGGCCACAAGAGTTTCCATATTGAATTAGTAAAAGAAAAGCAAAAACAAGGAGAAAAAA